GTGTGTGTGTGTGTGTGTGTGTGTGTGTGTGTGTGTGTGTGTGTGTGTGTGTGTGTGTGTGTGTGTGTGTGTGTGTGTGTGTGTGTGTATGTGTGTGTGTGTGTGTGTGTGTGTGTGTGTGTGTGTGTGTGTGTATGTGTGTGTGTGTGTGTGTGTGTGTATGTGTGTGTGTGTGTGTGTGTGTATGTGTGTGTGTGTGTGTGTGTGTGTGTGTGTGTTAGTGTGTATGTGTGTGTGTGTGTGTGTGTGTGTGTGTGTGTGTGTGTGTGTGTGTGTGTGTATGTGTGTGTGTGTGTGTGTGTGTGTGTGTGTGTGTGTGTGTGTGTGTGTGTGTGTGTGTGTGTATCAAACCGTCTTTTGTGTATTTGTATATTTGTTTGTTTTCAGAGTTTTTGTGTCGTGTCAATAATTGTGACATTTTCAGTCTCTGTTGTTGCTCGATATCGGCAGAAACTTAAATCCAAAATATCGACATCGGTATCGGAACAGATCGGTGCACGCCCGCTGTGGTATTAGACAGACCGTGTGTCTCTCTGATTGGTCAATCGTCCTGTCAATCAGACCAGCTCAAACTGACGAGACACGATACAGAAAACAAACAAAAGACAACGAATCGAAACTGGGAGTAAAATCAAGTCAAAGCAAAATAAAAGTAAGAAAAAAAACTTATAAAAATCCACGTTTGACATTTTGGATGCAAATCATGTCCAAAATAATTAGTGACTGAGCAGAAAAAAGATGCTGAGATTTTGAACGTGTGAAAGGTGGTGTGGTGTGTCGCTCTCACTCCCCAGAAAATACTTCGGCTCAGTATCACGTAATTACGTGAAAAATATCACGTTATAACGTGAAATGATCACGTTATTTCATGATATGAAATGATCACGTTATTACGTGAAAACGTCAATTATGGTTTTACGTGATTTCATTATCAGATCAGTCAAACCACGCTTCCCTCGGTCCAGTCAAGTCCAGCCTGATTCTCTTGAGTTTTACTTCGGGCTCGTGTGTCTCCTTCACATGAAGCAGGATCGTGTTCGTGTATTTTACTGTTTCGTCCCCATGTTGTGTTAGTTTACAGCAGCAGAATGTTCTGGAAGCAGCTGCTGAATATTCGAGCTGGAGCGAGTCGTTAAAAGTTCCTGGTCTGTTTGCAGTTCTGTTTTAGCTCCTAAGAACGAGTTAAAGACAAAAACATTCATTTGACACATTTCGGTGTTTCCAGTTTTTTATGAATATTGACCATAAAACATGGTTGACTGTTGCACTCAGACACAGACGGTGTAAGAAAACTTATTCACAACATGTGGTGTAGTTAAACTCAGCCCCGCTTCATCTCCTCTGATCCCGGCCTGGACAGGGAGCAGCGCTCAGGTCCCGGTGCTCCTCCGGGTCAGGCCGGGCTCAGATGACCTGGAGCGGGGAGTGGTTAGGTGCCTCGGCCTGAGAAGCGCTTTTCTCGAGAAGAACCAAGTGCACGGAGGCTCAGAACAGTAACGAACCAGACCGGAGTCGCGCTTCTGTCCGGATGCTTTACTCCACCTCAGAACCAACCGCAGCGCCGCACCGGAGCAACCGGCACAGACCGACAGTTCAACCCGCACGGACCGACAGTTCAACCCGCACGGACCGACAGTTCAACCCGCACGGACCGACAGTTCAACCCGCACGGACCGACAGTTCAACCCGCACGGACCGACAGTTCAACCGGCACGGACCGACAGTTCAACCCGCACGGACCGACAGTTCAACCGACAGTTCAACCCGCACGGACCGACAGTTCAACCCGCACGGACCGACAGTTCAACCCGCACGGACCGACAGTTCAACCCGCACGGACTGACAGTTCACTGCGCAGTCTCGCTTTCCCCGCACGGAACCGGCGCGCAGAGGCACGGACCCGCTCAGCGATGTCTTTACTGCTGTTGGCTGCTGCTGTTGCCCGAACTCAGAGCTTCTGGGCTGATGTGCAGCGAGTTGTGAACAAAGTTCTAGGCTACATGAGCTGTTTTATGAGTTTATGATGATAACTTGGTGTTTTATGGTCTTTATTCATGAAGAACTTGAAACACCGACATGTGTCAAACGAATGTTTTTGTCTTTAACTATGGAGCTATAACAGAATTGCAATTTTAGCAGCTCTTTGCCCACAGCGAACGACTCGCTCCAGCTCTGATATTCAGCAGTTGCTTCCAGAACATTCTGCTGTCATGAGGACGAAACAGTAAAATACTCTTACAAGATCTTGCTCCATGGGAAGGAGACAGTGTTTCTGTGTGTTCTGTGTGTTCTGTGTGTTCTGTGTGTTCTGTGTGTTCTGTGTGTTCTGTGTGTTCTGTGTGTTCTGTGTGTTCTGTGTGTTCTGTGTGTTCTGTGTGTTCTGTGTGTTCTGTGTGTTCTGTGTGTTCTGTGTGTTCTGTGTGTTCTGGTGTGTTCTGTGTGTTCTGTGTGTTCTGTGTGTTCTGTGTGTTCTGTGTGTGTTCTGTGTGTTCTGTGTGTTCTGTGTGTTCTGTGTGTTCTGTGTGTTCTGTGTGTTCTGTGTGTTCTGTGTTCTGTGTGTTCTGTGTGTTCTGTGTGTTCTGTGTGTTCTGTGTGTTCTGTGTGTTCTGTGTGTTCTGTGTGTTCTGTGTGTTCTGTGTGTTCTGTGTGTTCTGTGTGTTCTGTGTGTTCCGTGTGTTCTGTGTGTTCTGTGTGTTCTGTGTGTTCTGTGTGTTCTGTGTGTTCTGTGTGTTCTGTGTGTTCTGTGTGTTCTGTGTGTTCTGTGTGTTCTGTGTGTTCTGTGTGTTCTGTGTGTTCTGTGTGTTCTGTGTGTTCTGTGTGTTCTGTGTGTGTGTTCTGTGTGTTCTGTGTGTTCTGTGTGTTCTGTGTGTTCTGTGTGTTCTGTGTGTGTGTGTTCTGTGTGTTCTGTGTGTGTGTTCTGTGTGTTCTGTGTGTGTGTGTTCTGCTGTGTGTTCTGTGTGTTCTGTGTGTTGTGTGTTCTGTTCTGTGTGTTCTGTGTGTTCTGTGTGTTCTGTGTGTTCTGTGTGTTCTGTGTGTTCTGTGTGTTCTGTGTGTTCTGTGTGTTCTGTGTGTTCTGTGTGTTCTGTGTGTTCTGTGTGTTCTGTGTGTTCTGTGTGTTCTGTGTGTTCTGTGTGTTCTGTGTGTTCTGTGTGTTCTGTGTGTTCTGTGTGTTCTGTGTGTTCTGGTGTGTTCTGTGTGTTCTGTGTTCTGTGTGTTCTGTGTGTTCTGTGTGTGTTCTGTGTGTTCTGTGTGTTCTGTGTGTGTTCTGTGTGTTCTGTGTGTTCTGTGTGTTCTGTGTGTTCTGTGTGTTCTGTGTGTTCTGTGTGTTCTGTGTGTTCTGTGTGTTCTGTGTGTTCTGTGTGTTCTGTGTGTTCTGTGTGTTCTGGTGTGTGGGTCAGGCTCACGTTGACTGAAGCGTGTCTTATTTTTCCGGATCCGCTGCGTGTCTCGCGGATCCGCCCAGGACCCGTTTTGGATCCGTGTTCAGAACCGGGTTGTCTGGCCCGGATCTGCTGCGGTTCTGCCGCGGATCTGTTTATTAAGTCGTTAGGAGCCTAAATGTGTTTCA